TTATATTAGGTCAGCGTTCATGGTTCGACTTCTGATATTCAGATCGAGTTCTAGGTCAAACTGGTTTGTTCGACTTTCAAGAAATTCGAGTTCTAGTGAGTTCGAGAACCGAGGTACCACTGTACATCTTCCCCCCCCACCACACATCAGCCACTCATTCTACAATTAGCTGTAATTACCAATGTCAAACTGCTGTATTGGGCTGATATGCAGCCGTTACTAGAAACATCCTTTCAACTTTTTTTTTTTTTTTAAATACTCATTGTCCACTGACATACAAACATATGGATTTGGTTTGCAGGACAGCAAAGGTTAAAAAGAGACATTTTAATTTGAACCATTTTATTCTAATGCAAGTATAGTCTCAGGAGTTTGAACTAAAGTGGTTCTTATAAGACATAACAGATATGAGTGGGAAGAAAAGGAAAGCTGTGCTTTGCAATATCCGTGAAAGTCTTCTGGGGATGACAATGGTTATAAAAAACACTTGCAGAAATTCTAATATGATAGAAAATCAGTTTAAAATAAACAGTTAAAAACATTTTCAGTACCATGGACAATGAGCTACCTTAAAATGGGGGCGAGAGCATACAGACAGTGGCAGACAGACATGGAGCTGACTGTAAAACTGGGTTAAGTTTTGAAACTAATCAAATGGTAGGTTTTTTTTTCTCTCAAAACATGTATTCAAACTAGAAATATTCAACACAAAATGTCAGGGCAAAATTCCTTTAGGCAAATATTCTAATTTCACCAAGAAATTAAAGTTGTAACTTTACATGGGTGAAACACAATACTTTTGATGGTATAATCACAAAGCAGTTACATAAAGCCGTAATTTGACCACAAACTATGTGGTGAACAACACATAAGAAAAACAAACATTTACTAGACCAAACATACTGAACCCACCAATCATGGAGTTAAAACACAAAAACAAAACTGCTCGAGTTCTAGGGTTAGCAGTAACAAATTGTATTAGTTAGACATTATCGTGGACTTCAAGATGTGTCAATCAGGAACAGAACACAAAGACCTTTACTTGCAAAAATACCTGGGGGAAGGAAAAAAAAAAGTCAACAAGAACTCCGCCTTCAGTCGTACAAAAATAGTTTTGTGGTAGAAAACTACATTTGGAGTTTATTATTTAAAAAGTATACAGACGACTGACATTTAAAAACACTTCTTTATTAAGAACTGGTCAACCTACATAACTTGATGGTTTGACATGGAGAGCCAGTTCTTGTGTTTTCAGGCAGTGCAACTGACATACCCTGCTATATTCAGAGACTGATATTCTTTTTTAATCTTACTTTTGCTTAAAATATCTTTCTGATTTGAGCGAAGAGTATGCTTGGTAAGAATGTAATAAAAAAAAAAAAAAATTGTTGAAAAGTAAAAACATAAAATTTAAAAAATAAACATGCTTTTTATCATTTCATATAATTGGTTTACTGCTGTGATTATGGGCTACCTAAGCAGCCGCCTGTGATGCGTGTGAACACACGTATAAACATCCGCATGTACGTGTGAGTACATTTCCACAAATGCGTGTGCGCACATGTGTGTATGCATGCACGCGTGCAGTCCCTCAAGGGGCAGCTGGCATCTTCAGAGCTGGCGCGGTCGTCACTGGCGTCTTTCCTGCTGGGGTATTTGTGGCCAGCAAAGCCTTTCTCCTCCTCAGCAGCGGGTTGCAAGATTCGTCAATGTCCTTGATTTTAATTTGGTCGTAGTCGACTCTTATCGATGCCAGTGCGCTGGTCATCTCCTCCTAGAAGAAGCATGCAGTTTAGAATAAGCAGATATCACTGATCACTTCCGGTAAAAATACGCAACAAGCTACTTCTTTTTTCCTCCCTGAACTGTAGAAGTTTCATTACTCCGGGTGGCTTCACAAGAAAAGGAAGCTTTCAAAGTAGCAGGAAGTGGAGGGCAAGCCAGAGAGGGTGCTTGTGGGCTGCTGTACTCACCTTGATTTCCTCCCAAGTGTCCTTCTCCTCTTTCAGCACCCGACTGGTATGGAGGGGCGTCTGTGGCACTTCCATCGATTGCTACAAAGGCACCAGGTACAAACAGTGAGGGAGAAATCCAGGCTAACATACCACACAACTCCGTAACCTGACAAATACATCAACTACATTCTTTATTCAAGATCATTGAAATCACCATTAAAAAGACCAGATTTCAAATTAATTCCAAATTATTCCATATAGCAAATGCTAATTTAAATAATAATCGAATGAAGACTTAAAAAAACGACGTTCCATATTCCTTAAAAGTGTCCAGATGAAATTGTAATTAGTGTATTAAAATACAGTGCAGGTTTGAGGAATTAAGATGTCTTTCTATAAATTACACCACGCATTGATGCAATGCTTGTGTTAAATCAAAATTCACAGTACAACCCGACAAGTATATTGTAGCATGTTTATTGGTCCCTTGGTTACATGGCAGGAGTCAGCGAGACTCACATTGATCCAGGGGTTGTTCATGAACTCCATTATCGTCATTCTCTGTGTCGGTTCCGTTTTTAGCAGGTGCCGGATCAACTGCTTTGCTGAAGTCAGACATGGTCATGTTTGTGTCAGATCATCAGTGCAGGGCTTCTTATGAAGAAACTCATCTCCATCAAAATTCTATTCCTGAGCAACCAGGTAGGAATTCTAAACAATCCTTACATTTTATGTCAATTTAAATATTAGGCACTTATTTAGATCAGTGTTTCTCAACCCAGTCCTTGGGGACCCGCAGACAGTCCACGTTTTTGCTCCCTCCCACCTCCCGATAGGCAAAAACGTGGACTGTTTGCGGGCCCCCAGGGACCAGGTTGGGAAACACTGATCTAGAGTGACATGCGAAATAGAATTGCTTCCATAAACACATCTACGAATTTAAATTCAAGGATAGCAGCTCTTCTGCACAGTATTTAATTATGGCGTGTTGTTTCCCTGTTGTAGAACACTACAACTGAGTTTGCATCCAAACCACAAAGAAACCGCTGCACTCTGCGTGGACATTCGGTTACCTTCATCAGAGACTTCCTGCCACTCTGGGTTGGGGAACTCGTACTGCCCCATTCGAATTCGTTTCTTCATCCCAGGAGATATGGCCAGACCATGTTTAGAATAGAAAGGGGGGTACCCACAGAGCCTGGGGGGAAATGGAGAATAAGGAACCACAGGAGCAGGAAACACCATGTAGTTTGGGAGTTTGTTGGCAGCGACAGTAGACCATTACAGAAACATCATTGCTGGTCTCATAAGTGACTTATGTGAAAGACTCTCACTCACAGAATGTACATGATGACGCCTATGGACCACATATCACATGACTTGTCATACTTTTCTGGTCCAAGAACTTCAGGAGCTGAAATTAGGTTAAAATATTTAAATCCATTTATTTATAATAAATAGCAGTAAAAAAAAAAAAAAAAAGCAAAATATTTTGAACATGGGGGGAGGGGTGGTGGTGGTGGGAATAACAAAAAAAATCCATCCATCTGCTTATCCTGGCCTGGGCTGCAGGCAGGCTGGAGCGCAGGGGTCCACTCTGGCCTGGATGCCAGCCCATCACAGGGCACACACGCGCTCGCACACGCACAGGCTCACACGCACACGCGCTCACGCACAGGCTCACACGCACAGGCTCACACGCACAGGCTCACACGCACAGGCTCACACGCACAGGCTCACACGCACGCTCACACACACACGCTCGCTCACACACAGGCTCACGCACGCGCGCTCACACACACAGGCTCACGCACGCGCGCACACACACAGGCTCACGCACGCGCGCTCACGCACACGCGCTCACACACACGCGCTCACACACACGCGCTCACACACACGCGCTCACACACACGCGCTCACACACACGCGCTCACACACATGCTACAGGTAACTTGTCAATTAGCCTAATGGGGCTTTTCCAGTGGCATACAGGAACCAAGCTGTACCCAACCTGTATTGCAAAGACAGACTAGTTACAGCGCAGTTTCCCAGTGCAGAAGGGTCAGCTCAGTACAGGTGTTGCCAGGTTTGGAGAGTGACAGTGACATAAAAGCGGATTTCTGCTGACACATCTGTGACAATCCCCATGTCATGTTAACATCAAACGCCTGCGACATTAGTGTTCGCCTGCATAAACTTGCCTTAGAAATCCATCCCTTTCAGCGGTTCTATAGTATTTTTTTTTTTTTTAAATTGGAGGTTAAGTTTTCCGGAATGTATCAATACTACTAATAATGAATAATACAGTAACCCCTTCATATTTGCAAGGGTTAAGTTCTGAGGATCCCCACAAATGTGAAAATTTGTGAATACTTGGGCACCCCTAACCTCAACCATTAACAGTCTGCTACCCTGAAGGATAACATCTATTTATTACCAATTTCTAAACAAACAGTACTGTCCTGTACACTTTGCATGTCAAACTACTTGTGTGTCATTTCCCATCAAGACCTTTTTAGATAATATACAACCTATCTGAATTATGCCCCTGTATGTAGAAAGTTACTACTGTATGCACTGAGAGCACTACGTTTTGGACTCATTATTAAAAATGCCAAATTAACAGCACTGAGACGTTTAAAAGCTACTGTGAGAACAGCAAGGTTTCATGGTCACAGAGACAGCTGACGTGAGTGAGGCTGGGTGTCACGACAAAATGACTGCATAGAATATGCCGTTATCGCCATCATATAATACAGGCACATATATGCAGATCCCTGGTATCTCTATGCATTTCGACCAATCAGTTGGCAGTGATGCGACTGACTTGGTCTAATCAAGCTTTCGTCCCTGCTAGTAAGCAAGGCCATGACAGTGTGGGTAATTTACTATGACAAACAGTAAGTTTGCGTATGGCTTGGTTCTTAGTGACAGTGGAAAAGCACCATGTTCTATAGCGTGTTCTGGGACTGCAGGAAAAGAACCCTGCAAGTACAGGGAGAATATACAAACTTTACAGAGAGGGGGGGGGGATCTAGACACTCAGTATCGTTTCCCACTGACATTTAAAATAAATGAATGAAAATCGGCAAACACAGCTGGTTCCTTACCTACATAGTAGGGAGTGTAGCATGGGGTGGCCAGTGAATTGTGAACGATAGTTTCTTTAGCGAACCCAAAGTCTGTCAGTTTGAGGAGCGCGTTGGGCCTCTTGGTGGTATACAACAAGTTCTCCGGCTAAAGTGCAGACCACACGGCATTGTCACTCTGACATGCTGCAGACATCAGTAGACTACAGAGTGAAATGCCTATATTATTTAAACACTCACATTTCTTAATACAAGTATGCATTGGCTTAAGGCATTTGGCCATTTATTTAACAGGCCTGACTGTTTAGGACTCGTCATCTTCCCTGTATCCTAGTACAGCGCACAGGATTGCAGGTTTGTGTAAGAAACGAAAACAAACAGCAGCTATACTGCATTATTTTGCATCTTGAAGCACCAAAACAGACAAAAGGTCCCTAAGTAAGCTCACCTTGACGTCTCGGTGTGCAATGTCATGGCTGTGTAAGAACTGGATAGCCTCCCCGATACTCCTCATGATTTCAGAGGCCTCTGGCAAAAGACGACAGCACAGAAGCATCCGTAACGGTGGCAGAGAAAACCTTAAGGCTGTGCTGTCACAGGTGACAGTCACAGGTGACAGTCACAGGTGACAGAGTGGCAGACCTCTACAGGAGGTGCCAGGGGCCGCCGTACCTCGTTCAGTGAAGGCTTGGTCCCCTCTGTCCTGAATGCGGCTAAAAAGCTCCCCGCCCCCCATGCTGCAAGGACACACAGGACCCCGAGGAGGTCAGATACAGGGACAGTTCCTACTGGACACTTTAATAGAATAACCAACTTAATTACCAAAAACAAAAGAGTGGCAAATGGCTGGATGCAATATAAAAAAGCACTTTAATTAAAATTACTGTAGCATGACCTGTCCTGGGACAGTAGCTAGCCAGTTACAACTACAAATCCTTAACTACTACACCAGAAATTTTATAGTGACCATCAGTGGTTAATTCTGTTATCTTGTTAATAATTCAGAGCAGAGCACTAAAATGAACTACTGCTTTTACAGCTAGAAAAGCTGACTGCACCATGGATACAGGCTGTTGAGCAGCCATCTGTTGCCAGTTTCTCCAAGACAACAGAGGACTCTCAGAACGTGTGTCATTAAGGTATGATTAGGAATCGGTGAGTGAGTGAGTGAGTGAGTGAATGGGAAACCCCGACAGACACAAATGCGGGTATGCTGGAGCATGAGAGAGAACACACCACTCCATGACAATCAGCAGGCATTTCTTGTTTTGGTAGAGGTTCTCATAGACTTCCACGATGTGTACGATGTGATTGCATGCCGAGGCCCGCCAGTGTAACTCCACCTCACGCCGAGCCTTTGGGCAATCCTGCAGCATCTGAGGAGAGATGATGGGCGTCACAAAAATGCACATGGACAACCTCCATTATGATGACTGTCTCTCCCCCCCTCTTCCAAGTTACTGGGCCATAAAGTTCCAGCTAAACACAGCATAGCTACATGTCGGCTAACAGAAGAATTTAGGGCTGAAACGATTACATAAATTATCTGGTTCATAAAAATACTCAAGGCAAATACTCTGACTCAAATATTAGCTATACGATCCATGGAGCGATTAATTACACATTGCAACAGTGCACAGATGAGATTAACCAGAGCACCAAGAGAGAAATGTGTTGTCGTGTGGAAGAATGGAGGAAAACAAAAATGAGTGAAAGGAAAAGACAGAAATTATCAAAAGTTTGAGAGCACATCAAGTTGAAATTCTCCCAAACTTTTAATAGTTTCTGCTGTTTTCTACCACTTGTCTCTAACTTTCATTTCATTCAATTTTATCAGGTTATTAACCTTGCTTTGAAAGGTGGCAGCGCTGATTATATCAATCACAGAAAACTGTAAACTGCCAAGGTTATTGATATTACAATTTGCTCAGAGCATTCATCGAAAGGTTCCAAATCACATGGTAAAAAATTGGCAACAGTGTGTATTGCCATGTTTTTAACCATATTTTGACTATTTGATTTTTATACATTCTGTACTGTCGTATGGCCAGCGGATATGTACAAACTTCAGATTTTGGCCCATGTAATATTTTATGTGCACTTTAATACCACTTCCTAAAAGTTATAGGCTTTCACTGACCTGATTAACCACAGCCAATTTTCTCCTTTCAAAGAGACTAAATAAATGTCATAAAATTTAACATCTTTTTCAGTAAACCACAGTCTTTTATGGACAACTTTGAGTATGGCTCAACCAGGTTCACCACTGACAGCATCTTGAACATGCTTTCCATATGTCATCTGTCGTTACTTTATATTTTGAACTTTTCAGTAAATGTTTACCTCGACAGTATGCTGCAGCAGTCTACAGATGCAATATTGCAGTTAATGCACTGAACAGGAGTGGACTGCACAAAAAAAATCTTTTGAGTGAATATGCAAAATTATGCAATAAAACTTTAGTTTCAGTAAAAGCCACAATTTGTTTATTCAAAGAAACGGTTGGTAAATGCTTTCCTTTATTCTCACACTTAAAATAATTGATCCAACTACCTGATTAATCATAATTAGCCCTGTCATGATTTTAACATAACCACCTGATCGCGATAATTTGAACTGACCGTGATTATTTTTTACATAATGGTGAGAATTGTCTCCATACATCAGTATCAAAAAAGGTGGATGAGAGAGAACCGTCATTTCTATTACCACATCTTTTTCTACCGTGTGATGTTTAACTGGCGCTCGTTTAATGACATCATGTCATTGCGCCTCTGATCTGCTGCGTACCACCCGCCCTATTGGTACCGGACATGTCTACGCATGGGCAGCATCACACTTCATGGCAAATTTTTACTAGTGTCCAATTTGTACCACGTTGTTTCACTACACTTTCATGACCCACCTCGATGCCATTGGCATTTCTTTTCACAACTACATGTTCATTTAACCAACAAAAAACTAGAGAAATGTGTGTTATTTTGTCCATTTATATCTGATCCCACAGTTTTGTTGTGATATAAATAGATGCACATAACCGGTACGCAAGTATGTACTCTCCGTAAAGCGATACATGTGGCAATTTCTTTATAGCAGCGTAAATGCGTACGTATTTTATGTTCATTCACGCTATTATGAGAAGGAATCACCATGCATTTAAACCTAATTTTGACTTCTTTTGCATTAAGACTAAAATGCTGTAATTTCTTGTGATATGCACATACAATAAATACGCTTTTTTAAACACTGCGAATGCATAGTAAAATGACAAGCAAAGAAAATGGATGTGTTTTTTTGTTGTTGTTAAAGTGAACAGAACCATTAACACCGGGGGTCTGTATCATGTTTCACAAAGCCAAATTTCGTGCTTAGCCGGATAACTTGTCAGATGTAAGATACCACAGTTTAAATGGATTTTGTCTATGCTCACTTATATTTACCCCAGACTACCTTAATTCCAATAAATTATCTGGCTTAGTTTGTTATAAACACAGACAATATGATTTGGGTAAAATGGATGAGCGGATGGGGCGGTGCAGGTGTATGACGTAAAATCGGGCAGGTGGTCCGGATCTCGAAGACACATCATCAACTATACCGAGGCATTTAAAGTCTTATTTCTTCATGTTATATCAGGCCTCTATAATTCTTTACAAAGCTTAAAAGGCAAAAGCAATTTTTATTTATATCTGAATATTCATTATTCAGTTCCTCATAAGGTGTATATGTAAAACTGATTAATCTAACTCTAGGCCAATAGTGTTATAAAATGAACAGAAAAAGACAAACTGTTAACAATTATTTGTATGACAGTTAATCATCAGCTAAAATTTCATGATAGTGACACCCCTAATCATACTCAATAGAATTCTAAATTATAAAAATTAAAATCGATAGTTTCAGCCCTAGAACACTTCACCAGTTTCCACTGTAAAGTCTAAAGCTGCACAATAACACACTGAGGAAAAAGTAACAAGTAAAAAACCAACAACAAAAAACACCGAGGTCCAGAATGACACTGCGGAACTGCCGGACTGCCGGACTGCGGAACTGCGGAACTGCCGGACTGCGGGACTGCGGGACTGCCGGACTGCCGGACTGCGGGACTGCCGGACTGCGGGACTGCCGGACTGCCAGGTGTGACACCTCTCAGTCAGACAACCGACATGCGGTCATTAACATAAATGTTGCGAAGACTAAACCACGCCTGGTTTTTATATTTACCACAAAACCTAAAAACTCCATTCCATTTTGAAATTAGACAGCTACTTGTGCATGAAAAGAAACGAAAAATATCACTGACATTTTAAATTTGCAGTAAAACAGTGCAAAATGGGAAATTGGTGTGGTGGGTAGTAAATACTTTCTAAAGGTATAAGACACTCAGCATACAGTAATGAGATCTTTCTCTCTCTCTCTCTCTCAGTTTCCCATAACACGGTTATTTTGCAGACAAGGAAGCTTTACAGAAACAGGATGAGGGCAGCTGTCTGGTTTCTGTGGCATAAAAGGCGGACATTAAAAACTCTCCCTTTAAACCCTACATGGGTTTCACCTGGGCATAGAATGGAACACAATACCCTACAAATAAACGAGGGTGCACCACTCTTGAGTGAACAGTTTCTAAATGACATAGTTTCCCCCTACACAACCATCAACATCACATTATTCGAGAACGTAGAATTTCCTTCCTGATACCTGATGGACACTGTGCCCTCCACTAAATTGCTACTCGAAAAGTCACACAGAGCTTACAGTACATCAGGCACATTCTGATGTCACGTTCCAGAACCTTCACTCAAGTAGAAACCTCCGGCCAAGGACGCGAGGATGTGCCTTTCTGCAGAGCATTATAAGGCCTTTAGCCATTCCCTGTTCAGTATTGTGTGTACATTTGTGTGTTTGATTTAATCATTGAGAAACTGACCTCCACCCGACTAACTAAGCGTCCCTGGGAGGGACATATCCACCCAGAAAGAGGGTGCAAACCTACCAGTTTCCACATGCTCCTGTCTTACTCACTGAATAAACACCCATTCTTGTTCAAGCTGAAGTATACTGAAGCAGATAAATTCCCCCAAGAAAAGTCACTGGGTAGGCGTCAGCTTCTTCACTGCCTTGGTCCCAATGAACCGCTCATTCAATCATCAATCCTTCCATTCAAGACACTTACAAAGACACACATGTACATCTCTAAATAATCAAAATAGACAAATTACTACATAATAATACAACATATTAGAGTGTAACTGGAGAGCAATATCCACGTTCCAGAGAATAGCCAAATGAGAGGCTCTGTTGTAGCATTGCTACTTATTGCCTCCTGGATTTTGGATTTCAGTTGTATGCCTGCTCTGTGTTCCTTCAGATCAAAGATCACATATACATTTAAAATTTTAGTGTGAGTGACTGTTCTGTTAAGGATTGACATCTATTTCAGGGTGGACACAATCCTTTACGTTCCATAATTCCTAAGGCTGGGTCTGAAGTAATATTGCCCTAAACAGCAGATGGAGATAGTCAAAGACATATTAATGTAATGCAGGTGTTATTTGAAATGGCTTTCGACCACAAACACTAAAGGTAATCATCCTGCAGAGTTATTTGCCTTATGCAAATACAGATGGGGCAGGGTGTAGCTCAGCGAGTTAAGGATGTATGTGCATGCCCTGAAGGTCGTGGGTTCAAATCCCAAGGCTATCAGACAGATCATATCACTGTTCGTTGTACAAGCCTTCTGTAAAAAAACACCATGTTCGCACACAAATGGCGCATTTCCACTGCCAACAAGAACCGAGCTATACCTGAGCCGTACTACAAACTGACGATTTTCCATTGTACATTACTAGCAGGGCCAAAAACATGACCAAACGAAGCTGGTTGCATCACCATCTGACTGGTAAAAATGCAGGGAGATACTTGTGATGTGTGTCAATATGCATGGATTACCTGAAGGGAAAATGGTATATTATATATATATATATATATATTATTCAATATTAATAGTACTGCGTTGTGTTAATGCATTCCCAAAACTTAATACACACTACAGAACAGCGGAACAAAATGGATTCGTAATGCAAATTTACC